CAGCGGCACGGGCACTGACACGGCGGTGGACGGCCCTTGCAGGGCTCGCTGCCATGCGGGCCCACGCGCAGTCCCTGCTGGAGCTGCCGGTGAGCACACGGGACGCCGGTGATGGCGCAGAGATCCCCTTTGGGGGATCTGCTCGCTGAGCGGCTGTGAAGCGGGGTCGAAGGCTGAGAACTCTCACGTGCAGGTGCAAAAAGGAGCGGAAAAAAAAGCAGGGCGGGAGGGAAAACGAACAATGCTGTAGAGAGTGGCACACCTTGCGGCAAACAGTGCGCCAGCACGAGCTCGAACCATGCGTTGCGCAATATCCCACCCGATGTTGTGCAGCCATGAACTTTGTCGACACGTGGGCAGTCGCCATCGGCCGCCCGCACGTTGACGGCAGCTTACTGGGGAGCTTGGGCGGGCACGCTGGGCTACTTGGCGCCAGGAAGCCGTGCCTCTCGCGCGCGCGCCTGCGCCTGCCTGCGCTGCAAATGCACTGGCCCGCTTTCGTGCGGCCCGGCCGCGGCCAACGTGTGCGCACGGAGGGCTGGCACGAATGCCCCTCCTGGGGTTTACGGTTTAGGGTTTGGGGTTTCGAGGTTGGGATCGTGATGAGCAGTAACTGCGTTGCACAATTTTCGGCTGCTAGAATAGCGCCCAAGGCCTGTACACTTCGCTAGAACAATCTGAGCTTGAAACTGAAGGAGATATACAAAGGGAGATGTTACCTCGGCTACACTATACAGGGAGTAAAACAGGTAGATTTTCACACTCGTTTTATCTCGAAGTCACATTGACTCTGTGCGAAAGAGAAAAGAATATGTAAACTGGTTCATCACTGTCCTCTCACATTCGTGAGGTATGTAGCGGAGTGAGTGAATGCAGCCGTAGCCATTCCGTCATATTCATGGGGGAAACTGGAAGCCGGATGGCGGAGTACTGGGGGTAGCGACCGGGGACACCTTTCGCCGCCTCGTCGCCCGCACATTGGCCAAGGCCTGGGGAGCCACGTTCGACCAAGCTACACGTCCTTTCCAATATGCACTCCAGTCGCGGGCGGGGACAGATGCTGTGGTCGCCACGGTCCGGGCCGCACTGGACGGGCGACCTGATGCCGTGGTAATGTCGCTCGATGGGCGCAGCGCCTACGACAGCATTTCGCGAGCAGCCTTCCTCGGCAAACTGCGGGAGGTTGCTCCGGAGTTGCTGCCCGTCGAGCGCATGTTTTATGGCCAGCCCTCGGCCTACAGCTGGTGGGATGCAGCGGGGAACAGGCGGGATCCCACAGGGCGAGGGTTGCGAACAAGGGGACCCATTGGCCCCCGCACTTTTCGCCCTTGGCCAGCACAACGCCCTCGCCAGAGCCGCAAGCGGTTTGCACCCGTCCGACAACATTCTGGCCTTTTTGGACGACCTTTACGTCGTATCATCATCATCATAGTCATCATCATAATCATCATAATCATCATAATAATCTTCATAATCATAATCATAATCATAACCATAATCATAATCATAACCATAATCATAATCATAATCATAGTCATAATCATAATCATAATCAAGAGAGACATGTCCTTGAACGATCGTGTGTCACGATCAGAACTGAAAGTGAGACAATATGTACATGATCGACAGGAGTGAAGCAAACATGACAATGTCAAAACACTACTAACATTCAGACGCATATATACGGTGTGAAAGCGCCACTCAAGAAGTACTCACAATCTCACACGCCGCAGCGGCAAGGCATACATGAGCCACAAATGCAACATTGCGCGCGCTGCTGCGTGTGGCATTGACATGGGGGGGCTCCACAGCCTTGTTCACCCATCACACCTTGAGACCCTGTTATCACACTATTAGACTCATTCACACGGGTTAACCATTCACTCCCTGTCACACCTTGAGACCCTATTTCATCTACTGGATCACCATGAGTTTACTATTGGATTTCAAGCCGAAGGAACCGCCCCAGAAGTCCTATTAAATAAGGTGAACGAAGTGAACAAGACTATTCAACTGGCATTATAAGGACGAAATGGAATGCAGGACATGTAGGACGCATGAATGCCAGTGAAATAGTCTGAACGAAAGAACACATGAATTACACGAACGAATCACAGCACTTATTGTGTCCGCACGCTTCTTATCTTATTGCGCAGCGCAGTACAGAAGCAGCACGCATGCGACCTGTACGTCTTGGAGCGCGGGCAACAACTCGAACAGGGCGGACTGTCGTGCGAGGGCTCCCACCAAGTGCTCCTGCACAAACTCCGGCGTGCCGATCGGGACTCCAAGAGTCGCTGCTGCGGGGGAGGGCACCGTCACCGACCCAACCAAAGCCATCCGGGGCAATGTCAGCGAGACCGGGTTGGGGCGATTCCTTCAGCATTCCAGAATCGCGTCTTGCCAGGGTTGAGCCGCAGGGAGCTAGCACCTACATGCAGCCCAGGCTAAGCGACAGGCGCTGCGTGACCGGCCCGGCGCCCGCCTGAACCCCAAGTTCCCATCGGCCCACCCTCCGCAAGATGGGGATTGCAGCTCCTGCTTGCGGAATCTGGCCTCCGTTGTGCCACAAACGATCGTCCCGGCAATATGGTTGGGCGAGCTGACCACATGCACGGGAGGCATACGAGACCTGGTCATGGGGGATGCGTTCCGGCGAGTGGTCGCTCGCACGCTTGCGCAGGATTGGGCAACTCCAGCAATATGCCCTCGGCGCTGCCGAAAGCCTGCGCGGGTGGTACGTGCAGCCACGGGAAAAGAAGCTTGGGCGACTTTGCTGAGTTTCGACTGTGTTGGGGCCTTATGATTAGACATGCCGGCAAAGCCTGCTGTTGGCGTTTGCAAACGACCCGAGCTGGCAGGCCTCGGCACTCTGCTAGGCTTCCCCCCGCGCTTACGTCTTCTATGTCTCCTGGGCGGCCGGAGCTGCGGCACGCTTAACCGGCGGCGTCGGCCCCCTGGTCCAGGCGTCGCGGCGGTCTCCAAGCCCACGCGGCAGAGGCCCACGTTGCTGGCGGGGAGGCGATGGGAAAGTGTGCACTCAGACTCGCTGACAGCACATCCATAAGGTCAGACAAGGGGGGTGAGGACGCACGAGTCCCCGCGCAAGGAGACTGCGGAAGGAGCGGGGGCGGCGGGTGTGGGGCAGCCCAGCTCACGTCAAAACATGCGACGCAGCAACAATAAAGCCCATTGCTCGCCAACATCCAACATGGGAGCCTGCCAGTGGGTGCGTCCCGCGGCAGCGTGCAGCAGTGGGATGTGGTAGCCAGGACTCAGCGATGGGCTGGCTGGATGGCTCGTTTGTCAGATTTTGTCGCCGCAAACCTGATGTTGCTGCCTTGTCCGGGCACATTGGCACGACCGCTCCGCACCGCAGGGGTGCCGGCGCATCATCAACTCAACGACTTCACTGTCGAGCTGGGCGGTGCTAAGGCTTTCCGCTGCGAGCATGACGAGGGTTGAGTCTGCCAGGACGACGCTGACCAGGCATCGCATTGCGGAAAAAAGATATCGCGACTTGCGAGCTCCAAATTGTCCATGCCGTTGCTTTTGCCGCTATTTGCCGCTAACCGCTAACCATTCCATGTGTTACGCATCGCCCCGCCAGAAAGGCCTTGGCGTCGCAAACGCAATGCTCAAAGGCCCAGAAGCAGTCGCAGTTCCTCGCAGCGCGCGTGCGGGTTCGGCGTGCAAGCTGGCCATCTTAACGGCGAGGTGAGGTAGTCCAAGACTTGGTCCAGTGATTGCGGTGTTGGGCCACATGTTTCGCCACTGGGCCAGCCGTGCAATTGAACGTGGAACGTATGATAACCTGTGTTACTTGTTCGGAGCAGGAGCATCTTTGGAGGCGAAACCCGGACGCTGGCGATGTAACGGCAGCATGCGAACCATCTGGCCGAAAATTGCATTTGTTGGCACGGCGTGCCCCGCAGCTTCTGTATGCGAGACGTGACCAGAGGAAGTCGTTTCGAATCATATGCTCGCCTTTGGCATCATGTTGCTCTTGACTCTGACCATGACACATGGTCTTTCGTTGGCAAGCCTCTTTGCTGAGAGGGCTGCTTGCGGCGTATTACATGAGCGACACGCGGCGCCTAATTTGCAGGTCAGCGGCGGAAGGATCAGGCAGGCTGCGCAGGCCCGGGTGTGCAGGCAAGGCATCCTGATTTCCTCCAGCTGTGGACGTGGAACAGGTGGATTCGACAAGCCAATGACTTGTTTGGTCTTGCGTCAACGCAGTGAACTGTGTGTAACTAGCCGCCGTTCCCGATAGTTTCACTGCCTGCGCCTGTAAGTGTGGCCTTCTGGCATCTGACTGGCGCGCGGTTCTGAAGTCAAGCGACAAGTCTGTCGCTGAGGAAGCTGCGTTGCACGTCCGAAGTTGGCATTGCGGCACGAAATCAGGAGAGGGTCAGTGTCACGGCAGGTGCCGAGCGAGCATGGCTAGACATGTCTTGAGCAGCCTTTTGCAACGGCACAGCGTTCGTTTTCAGATGCTTTGTGTCGGATGCAAACTTTCTTGTCCATAAGGCGTTTCTGGAGCTCAGGGGTTGTGCTCGGTTGCCGTCCAGACTCAATGTCCAGTGCAGACACGGTGATCGTGGTTCAGCTCCTCTCCGAACTTCAAAACGGCGGTGCATCTATTGCTAGCTGCCGCGCATCGCTCCCTGCAGTTGTCGCATTTGTTGATTCTGGCAGACGAACAGGGCTTTGCCATTGCACATGGGCTGACCATACTGTGCTTGACAGGTTTGGGCGTATCCCGGAGTCGTTGCTGGCGGGGGCACTGCATAAACTCTATACCCACACAGATTTGGCAACGCCTACATATGCCTACCAGGGCCTAGTCATGCCTAGTCCTTACGTGCAACAAAGTGCTCCCCCAAGTGGCAAGAGCGAATGGGACAAGAGATGACAAGAGCGTTCCTGCCTACGCGAACTCAAAGGAACCACGCGCACGCAAGTCGTTTTCGAGCCGGGTGCACATTCGCATGAGCTCAAGATGGAGGCGGCATGGGCGGAGGCCTCGGGTGCAGTGGCGTGCCATCCATCCAGACATGTATTGCAGCTACATACACGCGCGAGAACTAAGGGTCGACATGCCCGGCGCACCCCCAGGAGGCATGCCTGCCCTTAGCCAAGTTGACATGTTTTGCTTGTTGAACTGGAGGATGCATGCTCCTGGGAGCCGTAAGTGCAGAACATTGGGTCCTGCAACACTGCAAATGGCTGATCGACATGACATGCTTCAATCTTGCTACCATCATAACAAGCCATCGGTTCGCCGCGCTCCGTCGGCATGCTCGCATTGGCCGCAGCATCGCCCTCATCGTCATCTTTGTCCTCTCAAAGGCCGCATGGTCCGCATGGGTCCGCATGGTCCACACAAGCCATGCCATGCCACTTGGCGTATTGCTCCTGTCCAAACTTGCTCCATCGGCGCCAAGCACAGACTATTCCTTGAGACTTCACATGAGCTGCACATGCTGCAGAACCTATCCGCAACAGCATAATTGACTCAGGTCCTAAGCTCTGGGCCAATGAGGGCGAGAAAATCGCCAGTCACTGCAATGTAGGACCCGATATAGCTGTAAGCGTAGGCATACGCCCTCACACACAAACACACCAAGCCCAAAGCCGCAAACGGATCAAAGGCAATCAAAAGAGGCGTTCTGAGGCCAAAGCTCTTTTGTTTTGAACGTGTGAAACATGCTGTCCGTACACCTAAGCAGCAAGTCTTGTGAACAGCAGCAAAATTGCACAAGCATCTAAGGGACATGCCCCATGTACATCGCCCAGGAAATGAAAGGAAGCCTGAGAATGCAAACTATTTCGTATATGGGTTGTTGGATTCAGCTGCTGTAACCAGCTTCAATAAATCCAATAGGTCGTGGGCAAACAACCCGCAATGGTGACGTTCATGGTCGCTGCCATAGCCGACTTCTTGGCCTTCTCTTTTTTGGCGCCCTGCGCACACGGCACGCTGACGATGAGCACAGAATCACTCACTCGCCCAGAGGTCTGGTTTTCACTCGGTCCTTCTTCTCCTTCCCCGTGTCATCTTCGCTGTTGAGCATCATGGGAACGCAGAGCAGGCAACCAACTGATCAGTGGCTGAGTGATGTACGCTGAGACATAGGATCACACAGCACACTGCGACAGACACTGGCCTCCACCAAGCTGGAAGAGCATGGCAATCAGGCCTTGTCTTCTGGGCAAAAGCAACACTGTATGACCTTGATCCAAGCCCTGACACCAAATCAAAAACTATTTGGACCGGTCTCTCCAGCTGGTAAGCTTCCTACGCATGTCCAGATATATTGATGGTGAACTCTGTGAATTGCTGCATGAAGCGATCTAGGCTTCCAAATCTAGCAATGAGCTGCCACGCGTCTTTGGGTGACGGGCGGGGGGGGAAACCTGATAGCCACAACTGCGTCACATTGCACGAACTGACAAGTAGCGAGCGCGGCGGAGGGCTGAACGCAGGCCCCTTGCCCCACTTGCCCCACTCGGGGGAAGGGGAGAGGGGGCCAGGGGCAAATGGGGAACGGCAAGTGGGGCAAGGCAGTGAAGCAAGGCAAGTGAACATAGAACGTTCGTGGTTGCCGCTGGATATACCGTAATACTACTGTAGTACGTAGGAGCGTAAGGAATGTGGACTGGCTGCGGGGGTTGTCTCTGAGGGATGCCCGCAAGGAGGGATCGTGCCCTTTCATTTCGCACAAACGACATATCGGATCAGTGACAGTGAACTTTAATGATGCGAGAAATCTCATAGAAACCAATAAGCTTATCTTTCGTTCCTCTGCATGAAAATACGCGTGTTATCCACTGGTCCCTTTGACGGGGTGCAAGACAGTTTCGGGGCACTTCTGATGAATGAGGCGGACTGGTAAGGCGCTATTCTGTGATCATCAGGCTGGCAGCTGTCGGTGAACTGCTGCTGCCGTTAATGGCCCTGTGCTCTCGGCCGATCGTGGATCCCTGACCAGCACTAGCTGACGACCGAGGAAGCGAAAAACGACCAATTTCCATCTATGCAACAGTGCAATAAATCCCGGAACGTAAAATGGTCCAGGGATGCAAAACATGAACATCCCCGTCCAGGGGCTGATGATGGACATCGTGGTGTACTCCATGCATCGCACGTTCATCTGCGCCTGTGGTTGAAATGAGCGAAAGAATGAGCCAGTTTTGCAGCAAGCTTACGAGCACGCAGCTTGCACCGAAAGTTGGGTCTGTGAAGCTCAGCGCCTGGCTTTGCAAACGTCCCAAAAGAGGCACCCAGCCACTGCCCCTCCAACTTTCGACTGTGACGCTGCTAGGCTGCCGGCAACGGCCTAACAGCAACAGCATCACCACCCCATGTGCAAGGAAACACATATGACAACCTCACGATCGTCAGCCATGAAACAACCTCAACTACCGCTTTGATTCTGGGGCCGAGGCCAGTAGTGGATTGCCTTGCGCAAACTCCTTGTCAATCAATGCATTCCGTATCAATAAGCACATTCATCCGCAAACACAGCAGCACCGACAAACGAAGGATGCTTCCAGCAAACAAGTTTGTTGGTGCACATCAGCGGAGAGTTTGCTCCCATCATTAAAGGAATGGCATGATGGGCCGATGGGAACAGGAGTGCCAAACTAGCAGCAAAATCGTTGAGTGCGGGCCTTCATCTTCGCGCAGGTATCTCTCTTGAGTTTGAACCAGGATGCCTCGCTCCAGCCCAAACTGAATGGAGGGAGACGCACTATGTCCCTGAACTTAGGCAGAGGCCATCTGTCCATTCTTGTTTGTGACTCCGAACAAAGAGTAGCGGCGGACGACTCCAAACCTCTGCAATGCAGGACTGCTCCCTCGGAAAGACGACTTCGTGCCCTTTCAATCTGCACGATCTGCATCAAACCATTACACAACATAGCAGACAGATAGTTGAAACAGCTGCGGCCACCGGTGATTTCAAAAAGCAACAGTGCGGAAGCGATGAAACGAAATGGAGACGTACAACAAGAACGAACAAATCGAAAGCACTCTTCTCTCTGTGCCTGTTATGATATCCTGTGTAGATCTCGGAGTACCGGTACCTGAGCACTGCTAAGAAATTTGTGATGACTCGCAGCGTCTGTATTGCCAAAGAACACCGAGAGCGTACTTCACAAGCCGCTGGCGATCCAAGCTGGCGAGCCAAGGCTCGGACGGGACTTTCGGAATGAGGCATACCAGCCCTATGATGCCAGCCAGCACAGCCAGCCATGAGAGAGCTTGGTCCTCAGCCACAGACAATGGCCAAGCTGCACAATATGGACTCCATTGCTGTAGACACCTGTTCTGCTTTGAATGCGCTCGGCGCATGGATGAGACATGCTTTACGCCCTCATGTTTTCGCCCTCAGGCCCTGACGATCACTGGCTTGGGCTCCTTAAAAGAACCGACGAGTGTCAGACTTCGCGCTGCTGCAAAAGAGCACCAGCCGTCCTTCGACTTCTTTCCCATGGATACACTGCGGAAGATCCTGCACAACTCAAGAACTGACGGCGCATGGTGATGGGTCACACAAGCTGCTCGTCAATGCCCTTTGCAGGCCTGCGAAACTATGAAACTCAGATGGACTCAACCCTGACTAGTTATGGACGTAGTTGGCAAACCTTGTCGAGCCGATCGAGAAGTCTTCAAGCTGATGAAAGCAATGCTGCCACATAGCAAGGCATGGTTCAGATGTTCTGCACGAGATTGTCAGCTGCACCAACATTTTTGCTGCTTTTTGTCATGGGTCTCGGCATTTTAGCGGCACCTCCACCTGCAGAGATCCTTGATGAGACACTTCGGGGGTCACTGCCACTGCTCCTTGCATTCTAAGCAGCCCACATGCAGCGAACACTGCAGAGAGTCTGGCCGCTTGTCGGATTGGTGCGAACATCTCTGTCATTGAGAGGGGCTTTCCTTCGGCGTCCCTGCTCAGCCCCTTCTCAGCGGCCCCTTCTCAGTCTGCAAGCTTGTCCCAGAAAGTCAGAGCTCGGCCTCAGCAGGCTTTGCAGGCGCTCCTAAAGACTCAGTGTCCTCAGATGTCCTCCGATGTCTTCTGATGTCGTCTGATGTCTTCCGCTAGTGCCCAGGGATGCGACGCTTGTCGCGTTCAGCATCTTCGCAAACTCTTCCTCTTGGTACCAGACGCCTGGCAGAGTCTGACTCTCTCGTTCAGACCCTCACGCGGCACGGGCTGGCACAAGCACGCTGGACCTATGCGTGCCAAGATTGCCGCCAACACCTCATGCACAAACCGAACAAAACAGTTGAACATCAGCGTCCGTTTGACTTTCGCTTTGGCTCCGGGCCATGGTGATGAGCTGCCACACAAGAGTTCTCCTGCCGGTGACTTCCCATTCGGATCAGCGGTGTGGATCCACAGCCACCTCCATGATCGAGGATCGACAGGCGGCAGATCTGGCAAGTCCTGTCATGCTGTGCTTGGATGAAAACAAAAGCAGGTCTAGTGCTAAAAACTGTCGCCAGACTTGCTCGCCAGTCCGAAGTTTCTAAGTGGCGCTAATTGGCGCTAATTGGCGCTCGCTACTTATCGTCGACTACCTGCACTGCAGAAGCATCGTTGAGCTGAATTCGGCCTCTTCTGTGGTCTGAACCGCGGGTTCCACAAGTTCACCACTGCGCAACCTCCTGCCTTCACAGCTTGCATGCAGAGACGGGGCATTGCAGAAAGCGCGCAGGGCATAGACATGCCAAGCGGCCATCGGGCAAAGCCAGCTCATCCTCGCAGGCCAGCACCGTGTGCAGTGGCACCTGTCGCCGGGATGTCGACAACCAGGCAAGCGGCTACTTGCAAGTCTTCCTGATACCGCGCACATTTATTGGAGTCCTATTCCCCTGGCAATTTCTCCTGAAGCGGAAACAGAACAAACGTCGACTGGGTAGCATCTGCCATTTTGTTTCACTCGCGCCGCTACTTGCACCTACTGCCCCTGTGACTTCTGGCAGGCGTCTGTGTGCTTAGCAATCCATCGCCAAGTAAGGTTGATACGTTGTCCAACAGGTGCCTCCTCTTCAGGCACACGATGCATGAAGTGCTTCTGCGTCATGCCCTCCATTGTGCAGATGTCACCATCGGAAAGCATCTGGGAAACACCAACCGCCTCAGCTGATCCCGGCCAATTGAGCTCCAGCTCAAACTGGCGGGGAGCTCCCAGGGATAGGGATATGATCCTACAGTCCCCGCACTTACCCTGGAAAAGCTCCTCATCATCTGCATGCCAGCCGACCATCTGCTTGCCGTCTTCATACAGATTCAGATTGCAGCTGTCAGGCATGTCACTGAGCTGTTCCAGGCCGCAGTGAGGCATGACACTCTGCATGAGTTCGATCATCCAAACAGGATAAGGTGTGGGCTGCACCTCCATGCCACCATACTCGTATGTACAAGTACATCCTCGCGCAACCATCCAAGCAGTTTTTCGAGGCAAGGGCCCCCACCAAGAACTTGGCTGCAGCCACTTCGTACCAACCCGCACTTTGGCAAACCAGGATGCACACACTTGCTGTCCGAACGGATTGCTTAGGTGGGCTGCGAAGCTCCGCCTGGACTCATCTTTGAGGAAGTAAGTCCACGGAGATGGGTCTGCATCCTTCTGCATCTCACCAATTAGTTTCAAGCCGACCTTGGAGCGGTGCTCTTCCCAGTCGTCACCCGCAAGTTTCGCCGGTGCAGGCTCATCATGTTGCCACGTTCTGGTTGAAGGGTCGATGCCCTTGCGATCACCCGTGGGTGCTGTGCATGCCGTGCCTTCTTCTGTCTTCTGCCGCTTAGGCGTCTCTTCCACTTTGTCCGTGGCGGCCACAGGTGGTATGCAGCGTGTCCTCGCGGCCTTCAGTTGAACAATGGCATCCGCCAGGGTTATGCGAGGCTGCACAGGGGCAGTCCTCATGCATGCAACTCTCGCACGAGGATACCGGGCTACACAAGATCAATACCGTTGATTACAAACTGATGCGCGACGAGACATAACTTTCGGACTCCTGATGCAAGAGCCAGCCTTCACCACCGACCGCTGGACCCTAACCTGTTTCTTGGGCTGTGCTACTGCAACCCAGAACTGGTACAGGCCACTGCAACTGCAACGACACTGCAACGACTATCCATGCTACCGTCGCTTCATGGTTCATGTCACGCAAGAGACTTCTGCGATGACTTTTTGAGGCTCATGGCAAAACGACGGTCACAACAATAGAAGAGAGACAGAGAGAGAGAGAGAGAGAGAGAGAGAGAGCAGAAAGTGAGAGAGAGAGAGATAGCAAAAACATCAGAGAGCCTTCCTAAGAGGTTGAGGTCGGGGGCCGCAAATGATCGTGGCAGCGGAATCTAACACTTAATACTGATCATGAAGAAGCCATATGAAGCCATGACATCCCTGCTCAGATCTCTCGTCAACGTAGCATCCTGCCTTCATTCCGGCTTGTCGACAATAATGCTCCAAACCTTCCAACGCTTCAAGAAAGGGTTTACATGAGCATACATCATGCTTCGTTCAAGGCCCCGACGGCGTAGTTCGGCCTGGACACCACAACCATACACCAAGAGAGTACGATGAGTTACGATGAGTAAGGGAGAGGAGGGGGAGCCACACATGCATCTGTGCCAAGGAGCGAGAACAAACATGATCTGCGGATCTGATTGCCAATCTTCACACTCCTCTAGAAAAACACGGAGAATCTCTGCTGAAACATCGTTAAACAATGCAGATGACCAAAACTAGCAGCAAAGCTCCATGTTGTGCGAAGTTCTGTTGTCCTCTGGGGCGAGTCGGTCTATGCCTGCCCAGTGCCGCACGGCCTTTGCCATTGATCTCCAAGAAAAAATGGCAAGGCATTGGCAAAGCCGCCATTGGTGCCTTCGCCACTGACGGCTGCTGCAAGACCTAAGCCACGGCTATAGACAGCTCAATGATGCAAGTAGCACGGTGCACCACGAAGCTGCACCACGAAGCTGCACCATGAAGCCACACTCAGCGGAACAACATGTCCAAGGTGGATGCCCCGTGGAAGCGTTCATTCTGCTTGAGTGAGCTCAATGCCTTGCCGACCTGTCAGAAAGTTGAGCAGGACAAGCGACACTGCATCAAGGACAAAGCAGGCCTGCAAGAGAGCATCATCAGACATTACAGTCTGATGCCCCGTATCACAACGTCAGCTTCCAACCAGAAAAGCTGCGAGGCAAGGCATTACCTTCCTGACACAGCTATCGCACTAAACTACGAGTACAAACAGAGCAGGATGCAGGAGGGGTCAGCCGCGAGCGTGCAACCTCATCCACCTTCGTCTGAACAGAAAGTCGCGCTACGGAAGCCTACACTTGAGAAGCCAGTTTGCCTGGGCTCTGCATGGTTCACAGAACCCAGGCAAGAGCAGTTCGCATGCATCATTCACATGCATTGCCATGGACAGCGACTCTTGGCAAGTCCAACTGCCCGTGAAACTCAAAGCTCCAGTCTGGAGCTAGGTCATTGATGCAGACACTACCAGCCCTACCATGTATCCCCTTGCCCTGCTTGTACTACTTGTAAGGTTGTGTTCTGAATTGCACAACATGAACCTGCCCAATACTTTTTTTGCGGTGCGATATTGCACACGCTTGTCAAGGCAACAGCCCAGGGTGCTGCACTGAGAGCATGCCTGAAACTTGCTTCGCCGCTTCACAACTCCATGAGACGGCACCTGCACGACATGGCAATTTCGCGAACGAAACAACACAACTTCGTGTCTATGCTTTCCGGCATGCAGTGACAGCAGTCAGAACAAATTCAACGCCCACATCCAAATACTTAGTGTACATATCCGTGCGTACTTCACTGACTCAGGCTCTGTGTCGCCAGATGCCCACGGCCTTATGAGCCTCAATGCTTCAGTCAGCACCAACCTGAGGCTCCAGGAAACCAAGTTCAAGAGGCTAAGGGGAGTACCTACAATTGCCTACATCCACTCACATTTTTTGGGGGGAAAAAGCGTAGGAAGAGCTTGGCAGTACCAGGGACCACGGCCTGCTCTTCGATCTCCTGGATTCGCCTCTGCAGGCCTAAGATCTGCTGCTGGAGGGACCTCAGCTTGTTGGTCCACCCATGTCCACCCCCAGCAGAACAAGCTCCCACAGAAAAGAAGAGCAACTGACGTCTTCTCACCCTTCAAGGTTGTGATCTGTTGCTGCAGACCTGTCAAAGTATGGACATATCCGCAAAGCACTCAGGCCGTACAAGCTTCGGGAGCATTCTCAAGTATTTTTCATTTCCTACCCTTTTTTGTTGCCTGGAATCGGACGATCCGAGAGGACCAGAGGGCATTTGGATCCACCATAGTGGACGGACGTCAAATTCCGCGTTGTCTGCCACCCCCCCCTCCTACCACCGTGCTTCCTGCGTCCTCTTCCGGCCGAGGCGGGCGACGTAGAGTTAAAAATCACTCTCACTAGCTTCAAGGCCACATACAGCGATGCACAAGTTGCCATAATCACTCGACGGCTGCACGGGCATTTTCAGCTTTTTGTTGTGCGAAGTGCCGCTTCACCTCATCCTGCCAGATTTGCATGGTTGCCAATGTGCGTGCGTGCCACACGCAACACTGACCACGTCTCCTGAAGGCGCTGCACGTCCCCGACCATGGTCTTCTTGAGCTCCTGCAGCTGTCCCTGATAGTGTTCCTGGCAGCACGTGGCGCGAATCACGTCTGCCTTCCGTGCCGCTGACACTAACACCAGGCCTCGATGCCGGCCTTGTCACCACGGAGGCTCTCAATTTCCTGCCCAAGCAGCGGTATTTGCAGCGGTGGAGCTCAAGGTACGAGGATTCCCTGGTCCCCCAGGTCCTGACGTTGCGCAGCCAGCTCTTCATTCTGCATGGAGATGAAATCCTGACCAGCAACTGCCGATCACGCTTGGACCATCTTTTGAACAGGTTGCTTCTGTTTCGTTGCAACCCCATCGCATGCCATGCGCCGGGGCTGCGCCTCGAGGGCAGCGAGCTTCCCCTTCAGCCCCGTAGGCGCAATGCTCCCCATTGTCACGTCCATGGTGCCCTCGGTAGCCTTGCCACGAATTTAAAAATCAAAATCATAGAGGCCTCGCAAACTGAATCAAAGCATGTAAGGTCTGCAAAGAGTTGCAGTGCCTGGCAAATGGGCTCAGCGAATCGGAGGCTCCCACCCCAAAGCCGGTGGCTGGAAAACACTCTGGTCCAGTAATTCCAGGTAGCAGGTATGCATCGCAGGCTGAAGCGGACTGCATCTTGCACAAAAGTGTGGAAGTTACAGACCTACTGGCGACCCATCTCGAAGGCCTTTTGCACTGTCTGACTGAGGCATCAAGCTGAAGTCCAGATTTTCTGACCAGCTCAATTAAACATTATCTTTCGGCCAGCTTCAAGCTGAGACCCCACTCATTGGATCCCATACTCGGCTGCATGGCAAGAACAGAGATGCACCATTCCAGTTCAAGTTGGCCAAGCATGTGTGGCCGCGATCTACAGGGTTGCAACAGTCAAGCACCCCCCCACCCCTCCAACGTGTCCGATAGGCAAGCATGGATGACAATCCAAGCCATGTAGTCCACCCTCAATGGAGGTTTAAGGTGCGTCTGGGAAACGCCCATTCGTACCATCTTCTGCAGCGTTAGCATTTCTGCAATAGTTGCCCTTGTGAACATCAGTTTCCGCAGAAGGGTACAATTGTAAGAGTCATGCTGGTGAAATGCTTGCAGCCTGAATTGCATGGTGCGAGCGCACATCAGATGAGCACAGTTGCAGCCGCCTTTGAGCTGAACTGCTTTGGCAAAGTGAACCCAAGCAAAGAGAAAGGGTGGCCTCTTGATTTTGCAGCATCGACATCAGATTCTTAATCAGCACCAACCTGCCCAGCGTTTGCAGTACCACTTGATGTCACAGCGTGCATGGAAACCGGCACCGCTAACTGATGCCTGCCACTTGCCCCACTTGCCCTACCTTGTTCCTGGCCTGGAAGCAGAAGCCGATATGTGCCACCGGCCCCACTTGCCCCCATTTGCTCATTTTGCCCCATTTGTGGCCTTGGCCCAGTTGCCCCACTGGCCCCACTTATCCAGCCGGAGCGGGGAAGCAGGGGTGGGGCCTCGGGGAGCACTGCAGAAGAGCCCCAAGCATTCGAGAATACGTATCCAAAAACAAGGATGGAGGGGGGCACGTGCCGCTTGCCCCATGCCACACTTGCCCCACTTGCCCACTTGCCCCATACATTTCTTCTGATCCGCTCGCGGCTGCGTTTGACGGTTCGAAGCTCCTTGCGTTTCGCACTGGCCCTCTTCATTTTCTACGTTCGCGCTTTCTGACTGACTCCTTGGATTTTTCTGACTGACGCGTTTGGGTCGTTAGATTGGGTTGCCACCATGCTGAAGGAGTTCGTTGAGCGGTGGCTCCAAGAGCATGCGCCAATTCCCTGCCGAAACATTTCATCCCTCCACGAAGTCATCTGAAACAGCCAACAACAAGTCAGCCACTCAGAGCACAGTCAAAGATTATGGCCCCAAAGCTCCCGAAAAGCCTACTAACTATGAAAACCGTGAAAACACTACGAGCAAAAGCCAAAAACACCTAAACGCCTAAAACCCCCCAAAAAAACCCTCAGAATGGTTGAAGCCGCACAAACCCTAAAGCCCAAAAAATCTTTAAAACCCTAAGACCCCCCCCCCCCCCCCCGACCCTAAACATCGCAGTAAGCAAAAGAAACCTACAGGCCATTCTTTGCAGCCCTTTGCAACTCCAGAAATCCTCCCCGCCAGCGAATCGCATTCTGTAACAGAAACTTCGGAGAGGTTGGAAGTCAGGAGCTTCTTGCAAGGGCTGTGGGATCGGGTCTGAGAACAAGCCCGACGAATTTGAACTGTGCTTTGTGGATGTGGTGGGTGAGCGGCGGTTACCCGGCCAGCGATCTGACCGCCTGTTCTTGATGGTGGGACGCTCCGGGTCCATGGCCTTTACTCCCTGCATTTTTCGGACGGCCTTGGAGTGGAAAGCTTCTAGCCGGTGAAAGCCCGACTGTGTGAGTGACTCCAACCCCTCGCAAGGCATAGGAACAAGCAACGCGTTGTGTATCCAGAGCTTCCACCTCCAAGTTAACACCGGGCTCTCCCAACCACCGAGGGTAATGCGAGAGCAAAGAGGGAAGCCTGCTCCTCGATTTCTTGGATTCGCCGCTGGAGCCCGAGGATCTGCTGCTGCAAAGACCTCGCCAACAGCGGGAATTATACAGCAGGTTGAGGCGATGCGCTGATGCCAAGCTTGCTGCGTTTTCTCCCCCTTCAAAGTCGTGATTTGCTGTTGCAGACCTGGCCGGCAGCTGATCCACCTTTCTACTTGTTCAGTCAGATTACACAAGAGCAACTGGCAGTTTAACACGAGCAAGGGTGGCGGGCATTCTCTGCTTTTTGTTGCGCAAAGTGTCTCTTCACTTCGTCCTTCTGAAACCACTTCTTACCCAAAACAGCTTCTTAAACGCCGGTCCTGAAGGCGCTGCACGTCCCCGACCATGGTCTTCTTGAGCTCCTGCAGCTGTCCCTGATAGTGTTCCTGGCAGCACGTGGCGCGAATCACGTCTGCCTTCCGTGCCGCTGACACTAACACCAGGCCTCGATGCCGGCCTTGTCACCACGGAGGCTCTCAATTTCCTGCCCAAGCAGCGGTATTTGCAGCGGTGGAGCTCAAGGTACGAGGATTCCCTGGTCCCCCAGGTCCTGACGTTGCGCAGCCAGCTCTTCATTCTGCATGGAGATGAAATCCTGACCAGCAACTGCCGATCACGCTTGGACCATCTTTTGAACAGGTTGCTTCTGTTTCGTTGCAACCCCATCGCATGCCATGCGCCGGGGCTGCGCCTCGAGGGCAGCGAGCTTCCCCTTCAGCCCCGTAGGCGCAATGCTCCCCATTGTCACGTCCATGGTGCCTCGGTCCGCCATGCGGTGGCTGCACGCGTGATTGGCCGCGTCAAAGGACGGGACTCGCTCTGGCTCAGCTGAGGTGTTGAAGGCACTTGCTCGCTTAGTCTCGTGAGCCAAGCCGTCTGACATCCAACATGAGTAACAAGCGAGAAACAGCGTCTGAAAGCACGGAAGGCTTTGAGAATCATGTGCAAACGTGCCTGGCAGCAAGAACTCTGCAAGAACTCTTGAGTCCGCTAGGCGAAACTGTGTCCATCTTGGAGTCGCATCAAGCGACTCAGGCAGCTGTTGGTTGCCCATTTTGGGGTTTTTTGGGAGTCATGCGGAAGGTCCCGTGGATGCAAACGTGGATACAACAACGACCATGGCAACCATGAGAAAAAACAGTTCGAAATGCGTGGTCAATCCTATCTCACCAGTTTGTCTGGCACTACAAGTGTTTGGAATTCTGTGGAGCCTGACAGCTCCAGGCACTTTTTTAAAATATCAAGGGCTGAAGAACATGCAGCCGGCGAGCTAGGCGGAAGCTGGCGGAATCACATAGTGGTGCTGAACATCGAAAACACTTGACAATGTATCTGTCACAGTCCTTTCCTGGCTTCAGTGAGGTCGTGCACATCAGTGTGTCCTCACTCATTCAGCTGCCGGCCAGATCTGAATTGGGGCTGCCAACGAGTGGCGTGGCCGCTGCTCAGCGCACGCAACACAGTACTAGCCAACATACATGTCCGTCAATGTGAAACTAAAATACACGTAGTCCTACATACCAGCTCTTCCTAGATTTTGGGTTGCTTCCAAGTTCGTGCGTGTTCGTGCGCGCTTGCGTGCGCGTGCGCGCGCGTGTACCTGCGCGTGTGCGTGCACGTGTGCGTGTGTGTGTGTGTGCGTGTGTGTTCGTGGCTGTTCGTCTGTTTGTCTTGTCCATCTGCCTAGTGCAAATGAATAACCAGGATTTGGGCCCGAGGGCTTTGAGGGCTCAACGAGCCGAACTCCTGCTATCCTCGATCGCAAAGGAGCACGCTGGAGGCTGCCAGGCACAGAGCTAAAGGCAAGAGAGAGCCTGAGCAATGCGACAGTTCACGGCCCGAGCATGACACCCCTAGGGAACCAAGGTGGACTGCAGTCTTTCAGCTCGGCAGCGCCGGCTCGTGTTTCGACTGTTGTTTGTTGTTCCTCCCCTGTCTGTTGCTCTGGAACAGGTTCGGAAAAGTCATTGTGCGGGTGTGCCTTTTGCGAAGGTGCCCCCAGGATGCATGCCCAGCAGCTGATCTAACGATGGAAGCGAGTTCTTCGCCATGGCTAGGAGATTTGCGTAGGCTCAGTACTCGGTAAAGTGAGTGCAACATGGGAGGTCCTGCAAAGCCCGATGCCCTCCAGGTGACCAAAAGCAATGAAAGGCGTATTGTTACATTGCGTGCGCGCGTCTGCTAAGAGAGCCCCGCAGTGCGCCACTGGCACAGGCACCCTCCCATCCGTAAAGTCCAGGTTTCCTGGGAAGGGACGAAAATGGACACCTTGAGCGAGAAGTATCTACTGCCGGCAACGGAAGTCGAACCCACCCCTTCCAAATACATCTAAACCCCAATGAACGCAAAGCACTAATCAGATTTCCCAGTGAACGCTGTGGGCGGAGTGCTTTGTTGGACAGCACCAAAGCTTGAAATACAACTCAGTTTTGCGAAGGAACGCTCGGGCCTGGCTGGCGAACCAACTGAAATCCAGTTTGCGTATTGGATTTCTGCCTTCAAATCGTATCTCAAGGTATCGGTCCCTTTGCCTGTTTTGCAGCCGGTTACAGAACAATCCACCGAACAGTGAACAGAGTCGCACAAATTGAACGTGGAGCATCGTCGTTTACTTCGACCCATTGTCGGTCCTGACGCGAGCATTGACTGGAACGCCCCACGGCACGAAGTTTTATACATCTGGAACGCCCGAGTCAAACAGTTCTCTGAGCGGACGGCAGTTCACGACTGAGCCACTATATGTTTACAAAAATATTGGAAGCTTGTGAGGTATGTCGCAGACTTTGAATGGCCCATGCGCAGTCCGCCTGGTCCATCATTGACACCTCTCAACGATGCCTGAACGATCAGAGCTTGGCAAGGCCTGTTTAACATAACGTGCGCGCAAGCTGCGTGTAAGCCCCGCAAACAAATCCAAGCAAAGCCACATTGTCATATTTGCGCAGTGTGCTGACCCAACGCGCTCTCCCACATCATGCAGGATACATGAGCCCGTTGTGCTATGATTGAAGATCAAGCTTGACCAGCACGTTCTCGCACGTGCGTCCTGATGGCTGAGTCGCCGGTGCTATATGTTCGCGTTCGTCATGACAGTTGAGACGCGCGCCACACTAGCGGATTCCGCTCGACCCAGTGCGTTCTACTACAATGTCATGTCAGGATAGCTATTTCGCTGGTGCAATGACTGAAGATTCTGAATGACCCCGTTCTCCCGCGGTCACCATGATAGTTGACCCATCTCATTGGACTCTGCTGGATCCAGAGTGTTCTCCTGCATTGTTATGATAGCACATGATAACTAAGTCGCCTGTGCATTTTATAGCATTCTGCCCGACCCAACGCGTTCTCCCGCGATTGTCAAGATAGCTGATTGAAGATTCTGCTTGGACCAGCGCAGTCTCCCGCGTCTGTCATGATGTGAATCGCCCGTGCTATACGTTAGGACTTTACTCGATCCAGCGAGTTCTCTCGCGTTTCTCATGATAACTGCGTCACTTGCGCCATATTTGCGCAGCGCGCTACATTACAAGCCCGCTTCCCCCCATTGAACGCCGAACGGTAACGCCTTCTTTTTTTTCTCCCCCAATGATGGGCATGAAAAACAATGCCCGGTTTAAACTTCCACAGTTCACTGTAGCTTTGCCTTTCTCTCTGTCTGTCTGTGTGTCTGTGCGCGTGCTGCAAGAGCAACGGTGGTTCAGGCAGTTGAGGCGGGTGCCCTGAAGCCTAGCGAATTCGGCAGCTCGTAAACAGCGGGATGGAACATCTTCGAGCTTGGTTAAAACACCTGCTTGTCTCAGAATATGGTGCAAATCCATCGCCGCTGTAAAAAGCAGAAAAGCAAATGATTTCCAAGATCGTGCAAGCAATCAAAATGCAAATGTGGTGCGAAGTGTGGCCAGGAAACGCCCAGCCACACCAAGTTCTGAGTTCTCACCATAGCATTGAGGTTTGCTTCTAAAGCACTGGCCTGAACTCAGCGTTGTGACAACCCTGGGCTACTAAGACATGGCCAACATCCATTGGCCAGCCTGAGCCTCGGGTACATCTGGCATATCATCGAACTTGACATTAGAGAAGCTGATGTAAGCATGGTCCTTGAGGGAGGCAAGAGCTGAACGTCTTGCAGCCCCGACGTCAAGTCCAAAAGAGGGTCGTTAACGAGATGCCGAACGCCTGGACCACGCTAAGCGGATACCTGCAGGTCACAGCCAAGTGCTTTCACATGCTAGAGAATAGCAGGAAGCTCTCAAGTCAAAGGCACTTGAAATCCAAGCTGAACGTCTGGGGCCCGATTTTGCCGTACCTTTAGCTGCTTGACATAGCCTCTTCTCTTGTACGTCATTGAGCAGTTGCATGTGCCACTTTGAGCGTAGGACTGGCAAAGGACGTGTTCAGGCTTCTGAGACCTGGAAGTCTGGCGACATGCCATGTGGTTTAGCTGTCTGAAGTTTTCCATGCCTTGCCAGCACAAGTATGCCTTTAAGGTCTGGGCAATGCAAGCTGGAAGTTCTTTGCAGACGAAAGGATGTGACGACCCTTGAAGTCCAGCACAAGGCTCTCGACCTGAGGAAACTGTGATCTCTGTACTGCTTCTTCCGAAATTGTCAACAACACTCAGCACATCTCAGATCTGCACTTCATCGTTCCAAGTCGGCTGCTTGGTGAGCAATCGCTGAGCCTGTCAGTCGCAGTCAAGGGATGGCTCTAGTGGAGACCTGAACACGGACCTCATAGCTTTCATCCACAGGAACCGAAAGGTCTGCTCTTCCTAGGAGTGGGCACCAGACCTCATAGGTTGAAGCCGCAGTCCCACCACTGCGTAAAGAAGCCAAACACTGAGCAGCCAACCACCCTGCTGCCATCTGAATACAATCCGGGCACCTGCAGTAGACTTGGCTTGATGACCGCATGGATTGAAGTGACTGGGACAAGGCTGCTGTTTGTGGCCCGGACATGAATCTCCATGCAATTGAAGATGCCATCTCCAACCGGCTTCCTGTGGTGCCGAATCCATGCTACCTTGCAGCCACAGGATCACAGACACTCAGCACCCAGTCATTATTTCTCATTGGAGTTCTGACTGAAATTGTGGCGGCCTGCTGCTTTCCATAGCATGAGCAAGTCAGATGCTTGGGTGAAAACCTGTGTGCACAGATGATACAGATGCTTGAGACATCAACTGCCACTGCCCAAACAGGCAGGGCGGGCTGGCAGTTCTCACACCTTTCCTGCATAATGCGCCATTCCGTTCTGTCCTGAAAAAGGGAACATCCAACGTTCTTTCAACGCTCAAAGCAAGCTGCCTGCGGCGAACTTGGCTCAGGGCAGCGTTCCACGACATGGTGAAAGCCGGCCTAAGCGAACGGCGGGAGGAACCCTTTGGGTACGTATCACTCCCTCCCACTCAGCCGCTGCTGCAAGACTGATTTTGAGCGTCTTGAAACATATGTCTTTCTTCGCTTGTGTTGACAAAAAGTTACACAACTTGGTAGTTTACAGGCATTCCCGGCATTTCCGCTGAACCAGACCAAGTGTTGTGCACCCGTTTCCCAACTCAAGCATCGGCGGCTGTAGCAAGGACACTGATTTATCACTGACACGAAATTACAGGAGGAAGCAAGCACCAACCGGAGAATTGAAAGTTTCAGCCTTCACGGCAGGTGTAAGAACGAAAGGAACAGATGTAGTGCGACTTTATAGTGTCATCTCAACTCAACTAGCCTGAAGGCCTCAGAAGACCTCAGAGCATGTAACATGTCCAAGCACTGTGTCGAACTGTGAATCCGGCTTGTCTGCATTGAACAGGTTAGCAACCTTCTCACAAGGGTTGTACAGGTAGAAGGAGACCTGTCGAGCCTGTGCGATCACACCAAGAACCAGGATCCAGGCTACGTAAACTTGCAGCCACTTGGGTTTGCATGCAGCAACAGGTTCAATACTGGCAGCTTTCGAGACGGTCCACCTCCAGATTCGCTCGAGCATACATCAGAAAATCCTGGCAAAGAACTCTGAAATTGCCAACTGTTGCAGAGCCCCATCAACAACATGCAATCCGAACCCCATCATCTGAGAACAGGCGGTACTGGAGCTTGTCCTGGCATTGGAAGACTTCAGAAACTGACTCGAGCTGCAAACCGTATCATACCCTGTCTCACCTCGCCATGCTTCACAGGACTCGCCCATGTTTCTTCCATCGTGACACATATGGCTCTTGACAGCATGTCTGCCCGATGACGCTTATTCGCATCAAAGGTGAGACCACACATCAGCCGAAGCTTTCACTGCACGTGCATCCCTGTGGGATGACTGTCAGCTTGGATGTGGGTGAGCCTTTTCTTGCCTGACATTAACTTCCTTGGCAGGGCAGCAAAGCCCAGGATGCGCTCACAACAAGCTGGAGAATGATTCTTGCGAAGCCTGCCGGGGGATTCCGGAGAAGCTTCCACAAGTCACAAAGTCACAAAGGTAAAGCCCTAATATGCTTCACCCTGCGCATGGTGAGGCTCTGGCCAAGAGGGTCCTTTGCGAAGTCTCTGCAACGTCGATGTCCGGGTCACCTGACCCACCTGGCCCAAACCAGTTTCTGGGCTGACAAGACCGTACAAACCAGAAAGGAGGCAGGTTTGGATGCAGCTGACCTTCCGGGTCTTCTGGCCTCGAGCTCAGCCCAACTCTGCCAGGCTTCTTTCTACACGCCGCGCAAACAAGCAAACAAGCGCTAGGCTACGCTAGGCTCTACACTCACATCCCAAGCATGAATCTCAAGCATGAATCTGCATGAAGATCACGCGATGACAGCTCCGCTTCGATTCGGCAATGCTGGTGCGAAGTGGGTACTCATGATGCTGGGCACCGGGCGTTGAAGAGTGCTCAGATATGGGCCCAGTGGCCAACTTCTCCGGGAACTGGCCTTGCCAGGTGGCACTGATATAAACCCAAAAATCTGCTTCGCCATGGTAAGCCTCGAATCTCTGAGACCTGCACGTTCGATAGATTTCAATCGTTGCCCGTGCCCGGAGGATCTCTTGCCTCCGGGTCTACGAAATCAGACTTCCGAGTCAACTTCCTTCGGAAACAAGCCAACAATCTCCAACAATGCACGTCTCTGCACAGCCTTTGCTCACTCCGCGGGCAAGAGGTTGCATGTTCTTGACCTACACAATGACAGAAGAACACTGCAGCTTGCCTAGACAAAACAACGTGAGGAGGAGACACTACGACGAAAGCTTGTGAGGGACCTGGGGTGGGGGGGAGTGGCGATAGTGCCGGTAGCTGACAAACCCTGCCGCCATCATTGCCTGCTTTTTTTTTGAAGGGAGTACGGAAGCAAAAGGGCACGATTTCCCAGCTGGGGCAGGGCCCAAGGCTGGAGGAGGTAGCATCACGAGCACCATTGAGGTTCCGCGGGGCCCCAGCCGATGCGGGCTTATGGCTGAGGGTCCAGGATGCAGGTCTCTGCATTGTGTGGTCCTGTCCTTGGGGGGGATCTGACAGCCTCTTGAACCTACAAAGTCCCCACGATCTGCACCGCACCGACAACTAGTGCAGAATCCTGCCGTGACCCCGCTGCAAGAGGCTTCGGGGCAACGCCAAAGTAGGCCTTCAGAGATGTTCAGAGATAATTCTACACATAGTAGCAGTGTATCCCGAAACCCTAAATCCTACAAAGTAGTCCCTAGGGTTGAACCCCACAGGCATGAGGCCAGGAGGGTTGTAGAAGCTACGATTCGGGGATTCGGGTTCAGCGGTTGGCTAACCTCCCAGAAAGCCTACAAGGGTTTAGGTGGCAAAGCGGGGGCTTTCACAAGCTGTTCATCCAAAGGAGCCAAGCTTCAGAGGGGGAGAGTTCACGAGCCTAAGAGACAGCAACTGCGGAATCCGAAGCAGGGTTTTTGGAAGTGACGGGCAGGTGGGCTCAATACGTGGAAAGGTTTGCAACATCACAAACATGCTACCAATCCTGACTGCCATCACCATCTCTTCTGCATCGCGTGCCCCCGACGAGGTGTACACAGTCGGACGGAGTTCTAGGGACAATTTGTATCGTCTGCACGTCACATGTCCTGCAACTACAGCTGCTTGTTTGCCTGCATTCTGTTGGGCCGGCCGGGGCCCCGAGCCGTCATGAGAAGCATCATGAGCATCATCCCCGAACACGGGCGCCAAGCCGCGGGACAACCCCCAAATCCCAGTCTGGCAGCACAAGCCGGGCCATTTGGCCACAAAGCGGGGCAACCTAGCGGTTGAGAAGGAACTCAGCTCGCCCCGAGAGGCTAGTGTGCATTCACGAACTATTCTCACAAAGTATCAGTAAGTAAGTACAAACATGCCTCAAACCCATGCGAGTACTTTCGGTTCAGTTGCAGTCTGTGATCAAAGCGCATGCTATTTGAGATGTGTTAACGTGCCACAAATGCTAGGTTGGTTGTGAAGCGTGTCGCATGGGGTCCACAGAGGGGTAAGGGGTGCATAAAAGGTCAAAAGGCATCCACAGAAGCCCGTATTACGGGTCCATAAAAGGTTCATGGGTCCATAGCGGGCGCTTGGCAGGTCCGTATGAAGTTGTTGTTCCTAGAAGCAGGCTTTGGCCGGCATCCCCCAAACAACCTATGCCGGTGGGCCATTCCAAAAGAGGAGCTACTTGGCCGAATGTCTCAGCCCCCCCCCCCCCCCCACGCCTTAAACAAGGTCAAGGCGAAGGTGGCCACCTCAGCTCCGAGGACGATTTGGACTTAGCATCGTTAGCACCTTTGCCAGCCCTTACTCTGTAACCTTCGTACAATGCTCCTGCATCTGGAGTGCTCGAAGCCAGAAGGACGAGCCCAGCAATCAATCCACTGGAACCCACGAACCTGCTTTATTCAAGAGACGACCAGCTTGGTCATCCACTCCGCCCGTCTGTCTTCCCTTAGCTTTTGCAAGACGCCTGTCACTTCTTCAGCTTGCTATCAAGCAAAAATTGCAGTGTGTCTAGCTTCGGGAGGATCACCGAGGTCTTTTGTCATCTTTCTCACACATGTGCAACATTGTGCGACCTTATCATGCAGCCTGGGCTCATCTGCAAAGCCTCCTGCTGCTCTTGGAGCTCCTTCTCCTTCTCCAGTCTTCGGAGCTCGTGTCGCTCCATCCACCACTGCATTCTCTCCTCCCTCCTCAAGTCCAGCTCCTCTCGCCGCAGCTCTGCATGCTGCATCCTCATACGCTGCTGCTGCATTCGCTGTGAGCGCTGTGTACGGGCCCCATCTGCTCCATACATCTTTGCACGAATTAGGTTAATCTTACAGAAATTTCTCCTACTTGGGCTTTTCTGCCTGAAGTGCTCTTTGACTTCTTTAAGTCGCTCTTCAAACTTGTGCCTGTACGCCGCATCATTGCGAATTACCGCCAGCTTCTGCTCCACCCTCTTGCACGCGGTTTGTAAGCTGGCTGCCTGGGCATCCACTAGCCTTCTGAGATTCACTCGGAGGCGAACGCTGGACGCCTGGCCATTCTCACCATCAGCTTCGATGCAGAGATACAAAGCAGTCCTGACACCACGATTGCCTCCATGGCTTCCATTGCCTCCAGCTCCACTGGCTCCATTGGCTCCATTGGCTCCATTGCCTGCGCTGCTTTCGGGATCGTGACGGTAGCAAAGCTCCCCACCCTCTTCTTCCAGCTCAGAACTCGGGGATGGCCGTGGGTCGACATCCGAGCCATAGAGGTGCACGTCACCCGAGACCCGCGTCAAGAGCACAACCACCTCCACCCTGCGACTAGGCAGAGGGATCATCACAAAGACCTTTGAGGGAGCTTCGAGCGTCTCTTCAAGGATCGTTCCGGGTCGCAAAATCAGAGGAGGAAGCGATGGCTCCGTTCCACCTGCCATGGCTTCTTCGACTTCTGACATGAGCTCAACGAACTTTGCGTTGAGCTGCTTGAGCGACTCGTTTTCATGATCCGTACCAGTCATGGTCTGCCGCTCTGGATCTGCAGCACAAGTGTGGAGCTCTAGAAACTCATGCAATTTGTCATTTGCCTTGTGGACGAGCTCCTCGGCAAGCCGGCATCGAGGCCGCAAACCACTCAGGCGCTCCAGGTCTCGGATGAGATCCGCACTGGCGTTTTCCAGCCGCAGCGGCCTGGCCACCGGCCGAGTGTCCAAGTTGTAACCGTCATTGCTTTGTCGGGAAACTCTTTGAGCTGTGTTCGGCCGAGATGACCATGCTGAAGACGGCTGGTGTTCAGTCGCGCGGGTCGGGGCACGGGCAAGGCTCAGAGAGGAGCACGGGCGACCTGGCCATTCCTCCTTAAGCTTGCCGCTCAGCAAGCCTGCCGGAGCCATGGAGCAGGCCCATCACGAATAGAAGGGCCCAGGCTTACAAAGCAGAACGCGCTGAGTTCTTCGAATTATTGCCAACCTTCTGCGTTTGTTATAAGTGATAATGATGCAACACGTGCAGCACACAAGGTCCGCTCAGGCTTCTTTAAAGTTAGTGTGCCCTGCAAAGAAAAACAAGTAGGACGAGCAGAGATCGACGTCTGAAAGAACAATCAAGTTTTGTGTCAATGTGTCGCGGACACTTGGCTACCCAAGTGCCGGAAAGACCATGAAACTACAACGCTCGTGCAGGCATCTTTTCTCAACGCATGGCGCGCTAAACTTGGTACCTCAGCACAAACGGAATCTACCATATTTTGTGCAAAGCCACGACGCATAAGGTGCAGGCGGTGTATACCTCGAAAACCCACCAGCTTGCGAGAAACCCGACCCAGCTGGCGCTGCAAACGTCTGTGCCTCACTGGTTCGCACCGTCACCAGCACTGAAAACACTATAACTTTCCAGTTTTTGCAACCATATCACAGGGTCATCCATCATTCGGCAAAACACATGTACAAAAAAGCGTATGTTGACAAGCTAAAAAAGTTGAATGCATGATAAGGCAGAGGCTGCTTTTCCGCTGCTTTGAGACCTGAACAAGTTTTGCACGTTCACAATTTACATTTCAATGTAGGCTTTAAGGTCAAAGACATAGCGATCTAAGCGCGTCCAGCATGCTGGAAATACGTCACAGTCACCGGAGCAGTCATGGAGCCAATCCTGCACAAAATATCATGCACAACACGGCTGTGAAAAGCTGCTGGTATGTGCTCAAACAATGCGCTCTGGTCCTCGGCTCGTACTTCTGGTGCAGTGCCTGAAATCTGCTGGCGACAAAATTTCAGAAAACTGGAATACGTCAACCACATGTTTGCCTGTATGCCGTTGTGCGTACACAACCACCTTTTCGTTGTAGTCCCAGATTTTAGAAAGCCCAAACCGTACGATGGCAAACCCTAAACCCCACGAGGAGATGCTGGGTGCCCAAAACACTACAAGGCGGCAGAATGACAAGACAAGTGTTCGTGGCAAATCCTAAACCCGAAAAGGACGTGCTGGGGGAGTTGGTCTCTTGCGAAAACAATGGCTGCGATCGACCATCACTGCTCTCAAGCCGCAGGCGTCTAGATTCTAAATACTCTGCGAAGCCAATTCCTCTCCATCACTAAACCTACATACAACTACAAGTCGGAGAACACATGCACGGTCGATTGGCGCGTGCTTGAATTTTGACACATACTCCAAGCGTCTCATATCTAAGGCATTTTACAGCATTGTTGTGAAGTCCCAAGTTGCGCGGACCTTCAATGCAATTTCAGCTTCACCAGGTGTGGCCTCCCAGAGGGGGTCATGTGACAATTCAAACGTTGTCAAAGACTGACATGCTGCAAGGCCGCCATTTCCACAAATGCACACGCACTGCCAAACTTCGACTTTCCTGTCATGACCTAGGGGCGGGGCAAGCAACAAAATCAGAGCATGCATCAACACAAGTCTTGTGCTGAGTTCGGAACATGCACATTCACAACCCTACCCCATTCTCCAAAGACTTGGCTCAACCTGGAGAAGCAGCACTTGGTTTCATTTTCATTCACGACGGGCCGGCTGAGTCAGGCAGCCTCTCGCGGGGAATCTCCGAGTGCAGATTGCCCACGAAGAGCTTACCTTCCACAAGACCCCACGTCACGCTCTTCAACTGAGAAACGACGTGTGCCTTATGGTCTATTTGACTACACCCAGTGCTCTTTGTGGCTTTTCGGGTGCACCCGTGCCCCAGGAGGGACAAAGACTTGGATAGGGGCCAGGCATCGTGTCTTCTCGGCAACATACGATGCTGTAGCAGTAGCTGCCTGACGAGCAAGAACGAAACTCTTCCACCAACACAGTGTAGTAGTACACTAGGACAGTGGCAAGGGTAAGGGCAGGGCCACAGGCGTGCTTGAGAAGTTGCCCGCTGCCTTGTCAGATCTCAGGCTCAGACACGGCACCATATTGAATCGTGATTGGGATTCATGACAATTCATGATGTGGCATGCCTTGTCCACGCTGCCAGTAAAAACTGCAACCTTTGCCACGGTGTCGAATTCTGAAAGCCACTCAGCGAACACTCTGTCCAGAGCCGGTAACCTGCTCCTCTTGCGCAGGCAAGCCAGGCAAGCCTGACCTGACAATGCAGATTCTGCCCATTGCTATCATCTGCTCTCAGCATCTCTCAGCCACAGAAAGGAGATCTTCAAAGCCCCCAGCTGCACTGGGTCTGGAAGCGCTCCAGGCCGAGCAATTATCACCTTCAGACTGTCGGAGCACACCGGGGTCAGTGTAATCCAGTGTTCATGTGCAGACAAGCTCAGAAAAAAAAAGACAGACTTAACCCAAGCTTCTGGAGTCCTCTCCTAAGCCGCCTGCAGAAAGTGGTTCCGGCGATGAACTACCTGGCTGGGCTTTTATGAGGCTTCTCGCATTCGGTGCAACCAGATCCGTGCTGCTTTGTATAAGGCAACTTGTGATCAAACGCGTCATGCCACGCGGGCGATATACCCCGTTCAGGGCTTTGACCGCCGTCCCAGCAGCTGACGCCTTCTCACGTACACGACGTACAGACTCACATCAGTCGAGGTGAGCACAACTACATATCTCCCGCCGTGCTGTACGTGATGAAGGCACAAGCCTGCACTTCACAAGATGCGACCATGCCAATGTGCATCGCAACTGCTGCCACCTGCCACTCGATCTTCTGACCTGAACCAAAAAATCGAGAAAACGGACTGCAGCATACTGCAACCCCGGCCCCACTACTGCCTTCCATGCCAAGTGACGGCTTGAGAGCGGTGTCTCCAACGATGCCAGATTACCAGTTGGACCTGACGACACTCTCTGATCAGAGTGAATCGGGGAAAAAAAGCTGCGAAATTGGCTAGTCAGGAGCAAGAGGGGGGGTGGGAGGGTCGGGAAGGATCACATGAAAAATATGTATGTTTCAACCTAGAGCACATCCCCTACATCCCATGAAGACAAAAATCAGCACAGCCGCACAGCATTGGCGTCCCTGGCCACATAATCACCTCAGCATGGGCGACTCTCTTGTGCGAGACTCTCAAGACTCTCGAGACTCTGGGCTGCAGACATCAGCAGTTTGCACCGTTCCATACTTACTGAAGATGTATTTCACCTCTCTGAGCGAGGTCCGGCCCAACGGACGACCCCAAACCAGTGGACTGTCTCTACTCTACACCCTAATCATCCTCTACCTCCTTCTCTTTGATGTCAGCAGGCAAGTTCTTGACCTCCGCGGCCAGCGGAGGGGTACGCTTGCAGAACTTGCAAGCCTAAACGCACCTAAGATATCTCAGACATCTCAGACCCGAGCAAAGATTTTGGTATCAGGCGACATGCGCAGGTGCAGTCTTCGAGTCACTTGGCCATGATTCGCAATGAGCAACTAACATAACACACGTCTACATGTGCAACTACATGCCAATCAATTTGCAGAATGCTACATGAAGCCTGAACAGGTAGAGCTGATCACTGGTCCCAATCGGGAAGGATGCTTGAGGGTGGCAAGGCAGCAAGGCAGCAATGCAGCAAGGTGGCAAGGCCAGAGATCAATGGAACACTTTGAAGCACAGTTATCGCATCTCCTCAGAGCGAATGACGTGGAACTTCCAAAGCTTGCTGGCTCGCCGCAGAGGGTGCATGAACCTTGGGGGCCATCCCCCGTCCCACAAGTGCTGGCATGCAATATCATGTGCCGCAAGAGACCAAGAGACTGGAGAGCCGGCCGAAGCACGATGAAGCACGCACATATGCCAATAAATTGTGATACTGCTTAGAGTCTTAGAGCGGGAAAGACGGTGGGAAGGGAAAGAAAAAGAGAAGAAGAGGCTGAGGCCGCTGAGACCTGGGCTCGGTGACGATCTCTCGCGCCAAGCCCTGGCCCATGTTCTAAATTGTTCTCACCAACTCTTTCAACTTCAAGTTGCCAATCTCCCTCGCATTACTCAGCACTACTCTCTGCGCCATACATCCCGAACGTGTCCCAGACAGCAACTTCTGAACGAATTCTCGCATGGTCCACGTTTTCCAAACTGTCAGCGATGTCGAAAGCTCGTTCACGCTCCCACTTGTCTTCATCCTCCACCTGGCACTGGGTTCATGTCATGTTATCATGGTCAAGATGATGTGCCTTTTCATCTGGAAGGTTGGATGCTGAGGATGCAGAACTTCCTGACAGAATTGAAAACAGTCTGAGCAGCAAGTTCAAACATGTAACAACGGCTGGCCGCAGGCTTGCTGAGGAGCCACCCACCCAGGAGGAGATCCAAGACGTCAAAGGGGTCAAAGGCATCAAAGGGCTGGCCTGGGAGCAGCGTCATGACACAAAGCAACTCCCCCGATTGTTGGGCCCGGCCTCTTGTCCTGTCATATTTGCAACTCTCTAAGCGGCTCCTAACCCTTTAAGGGTATAGTCAACCTCTGCTTGAGAAGATGAGCCAAAGCATTCGGGCATGCGGTGCTGTTCTGGAAAAGCCACCATGCACATGCTTGCTCAGAAAGTCAGCTTGCTCAGAAAAACAGCTTCACATCAATCGTGTTGGTAAGCGTTGCGCAGCTCCTCGTCGGCACTCCCTCATCCCACTTTGCAGGGAGGGGGATGGGGCAGTCGAAATTATCAAGCATCAGATGTGGCCAGTCAGCCAGCTGCAAAGACGTTGATGTCAGCCGGCTTTCTCTCGTAGCGCAGCCTCAATTTGCATGAAGGTGCCCTAGTCTGCTTGCCTGGGCAAGTTGTGTGTGAGCCTCTCCCCTACACATGGGCGAGTGAGTGAGCAAGGGATGGACGTCAGTGCAGGGTGAGCGCTGGTGCTGAAGAATCACACATGAGACTCGCTGATAATCACAGAACTTCCACTTTCAGAGGCCGTGCTTGATCCAAGAAGCAACTCCGCAAACTCACCCTGCTCCACCAGCAATGCTTGCTCGTGCACCTGCAGCGTTCCCCACAAGCACGTCACCTGTCATGCCGCAGCATTTCAAACAGCAAAGGTCCAAGGTCCAAGCCTTTCGTACAATCTGGACTTCAAGCAGAATGAAAACCTTGGCGGCAGAACCTAAATTGCAAGCGCCCAGCACAATGCCATCAGTATGAAGCTCGGCACTAGGTTTCAGGCAACTGCCCAGAATGCATAGGCAGCATTGATGAAGCTACAAACAAAAATGCGGCCTGCACAGGGTGAAAGATCATTGCAAATTGCACTGCAAATGGCCCTGACAGTGCATTAGTCCGCAAACATCACTGAATCAAAAACCAGCCTGACTGCAAGACATATGGATTCGAGAGGGCCTCAAGCTTCGCACGCTTCAGTCTCCCAACTGCATTGCGCTGTATTGCGGTGCAGTGCTGCCGTACCGCCAGCTTTGCAATCACTAGGGCAATGACGGAGCACATGTTGTTGCCCATTGGCAACCTGATCAGCGCTTGGCTCCAAACATTCTTCCAAGCAACTTGCACAAAGAACAGGTCATCCACCATCCACATCCAGCAAAGTCACAAGATGGCGATGAACGCATCAAACGTCAGGCACCCGACCTCAAGTTGCAAAATGCAACATGCAAATGGCCTCAAGCAGACTGCGTGGCCTGACGCTGCACGTGCTCATTGAGCTGTGACGAGGCGCAGGCGAGATAATGCACAAACCGTCTTACCTCTTGTGGCTCAAGCACGGCAACATGTGCAGAATCCACAGAAGGCAACTAGGATTCAGGCATACAGGCCGACATGCCAGTGTATGCCAAAGTTCGCCATAATCAGGGTAGGCACCTTGCCCCAATTGGAAAAGTATAAACGACTCACAAGTGGGCACGTTCGTGTCAAGATGTGCCACTGAGGGTGCAGCTCCCGCCAAAGCTAAACATGTCGCGAACACCTTGCAAAATGTCGCTGCCGGATTTTTGCAAACCTTGTTGATGCTGGACGCCTGTAGATGAGCCCCTAGGGGCGTTCCAGCCACGATCCTTAGTAGCGAACACGCCAGAATTATATGGGCTCTAATAGGACAGCGCTGCTGAGGCTTGGACAAGTTCTGGTGTGCGTCAACTGCACACAAGCATCCTACGGCACGAAGCAGCCTGCACGCATCAACAGCCCATGGAAGGTTGCATTCGCACGCCGCGAACCAAGCGAAAGACGTCAGGCGCTAAGATCCCAACGTCAAAGCACTGGCCAAGTACCTCAAGCAATGCGATTTCACATATCGCACTGGCGACGTAAGGACCTAGACACGACCAATTTGACAAACGCACTCTTCATGTGAATAGTAACCAAGATGCACGCACGCCTGAGCACTCAGGCCTTGGGTCTCCAATCGTGAAACACAACGGCTTGGTTTGAAACACGAGTACCGAACGCCTGCCAATACCAAGGTCGCAGCAATCCAACATGACGTCTTTGTGCAACCTACGTTTTCCGGACTGGGGGGCTCATCTTTGCAAGAGCCCTAAATTTGCAACAGCATGCGTCATTTCAAAATGAGATGGCATTTAAAAAGGCAACAATAAAACTATGGTGCACAAGCAGGTCGATGACGATACACATTTGGGTTTGTGTTCCAAATAGCCTCCGGATTCTTCTTGTCATGCCCTTGAAGCTTGAAATCATGCTTACAACAAAATGTCATACAAACAAATAAAGCACCTGCAAGCCCAAGATTCTGCGATTGCTTACAGTTCTCGCTGAAGCTTGCTACACACTTTCAAACTTGCCAACTTTGGCCGTCTACCTGTTCCGCAGCGTTTTGTGCTAAGCCTTGTGCCTCAATGCTGCACGCTTACGTGCCGGTTCGAAGTTGCTGGGCTCCCGACCTGTGATCAGACCAAAGCTCACGGTAATGCCGTTTAAACAAAATGTTTTCTTGGCAATTCGGTCTCCACATACTCCTTCTTCGCCTGTTGGTCAACCCTGCACTTAACCCTACATGATTCATGGGATCGTCTGTGGCTCGGCCGAGCGCTGTGCATTATGCACACTGCTGGCGCTTAATATATCGAAGGGCTTCTTTGGTCGACCTTGTCCCGACCTGTTTGGTTAGTGATGTGCGCATCACAAAACGACGCCTTAATGCGCAAAAAAACAGCGGCGGGATGAGGTTTGCCCAAGCCGAGCACAGCTGGCGCAAGAAGCTACCCCGCAAAACTACCTTGCTGCTCCCCCTCCCCCGAAGTGTTTTCAAGACTCAAAACCAGCTGGACGAGTACCCTTAATTCCTTCATCTGAACGTGCATGTTCTTGAGACCGGATGTCGAGTCCAACACTGCAGACTGCAACCCTGAAGTGCGGATGGGGCAGTGTCAGTCTGTTAGTCCAATTGAATTAGCTAGCTCTGGAGGATGTCAAGATGTATGGATTGTTGTTGAGCCCCCTACAAGTCCTTGTCGTCTTCAGAGTTAGGGGTTCCGGGCGCTGGGGCTCAAGGAGTTGAGTGACGGTGTTTTTTTTTGTCTTTCGGTCGGGCTGCCGGACAAGAAGCTTGTCAAAATCTAAAAGACTAAACATATCCTTTTGGAAACCCAAAGATTGGAAAATGAGGTGAAACAACCAACACAACAATTTTTTGCCGATAAAACAAACTGCTGCTGAAAAATTGTTCATCACAAGTATAAAGAACCTGTTTTCAGATCTCGTGCGTGCTATCTTATGGTAGAATGGAAGCTAACATGTCACAACCTATTTGAAACAATCATTTTTACAATATGAGATTTGCGTACTCAAATTTTTTGAGACCTGCGTAAAGAGCTGAAACAAAGACTAACCTTCAAACAAGGAAAACTAAATTCAAAAGCTTTTGTTCATGCTGGCAGACATAGCATGACCCCGAGCAAGGATGACACGCACAAATCAAGGCCATGCGTGGCTCAAGCATGCGCAAAATCCAGAAGTGTACACTGAGGTTGGGGATGACTTGGGGCGACGGGGTTTGGAGGGCCTTGCGACATGTCGTATGATCCTCTGATGATTTTTCCCAACTTTTGACGAAGCCCAAACTCACCTGCCCCCAGTGACACACGTACAGATTCCAGCTGAAGCGTTGGAGTATTTGAGTATTCCTTAGGTTTGCCAACCCGTAGCTGGTGCTTAAATGCGTCGCCAGCCACAATGCTTTTTCTGACGGGCTTACGCCCGCGCATCATAGCGTCCATCGCCACCTCTTGCACATTTTCCACAGCTTGTCCAGATGCTCTGCCAAGGTCTCTAAAAGCCAGCCCTGGAAGCCACAAAATGGAAAGTTCTCAGCGGCGGAATTCGTGCGCAACCCTTCCAGAAGTGGAGAACGTTGATGTCACTTCTTAGAACCCAGAACCTTCGTGGGTGTAACCAAACAAAAGGCACTTCTACAGGTAGTGTCTCAAGAATGTTGTTTTTGCGCGTCTTTTTTGAACCATGCAACCTTCTTCTCACAAATCAGTCCACTTCTTGTTTTTCTGAAAGGGAAAAACGCACAACGAGTTAGACACAGCTGGATTGCAGTTCTAGTTTCAACACACAAACTCCGACACTTTTGGGGGGCCTTCTGCAAGATTCCGCAAAAGTGCAGCAAGTAAGAAGCACAATGTTTCAGCCTGACACTCCAGCAAAGATGCATAGGCATTTTTGGGGGGCCAAATGTGGAATTCCAGCAATAGGAAAACGGTCTGCAACCTCCAGCGGCATTTTTTTCAAGAAGTGTTTTTGCACTGCAACTTTGGCTGCGTCCGCAGTCAGTTGGTTTTCTTGAGTTTGTGGTGCATGCCGCAACATAAGTGTTTGTTACTTTCGCTTGGTCCTTTTGGTCAGCATGACTTCAGTCGGTGTAAGACCAAATTTTTTTTTGTAAGCACTGTGCACCTTTTACAAATGGCCATTGCTGCGTTCGTCGGGCCCCTTCTGGCTGTTCGAACGCAACGCTGCAACGTTGCTTGTGTTGGTTTGGCGCGGATAAGGTCAGAGCAAGAACGCAGCAGAGGTTTGTGCCCTCGTGGGCTGCTTACTGTGTGGTTATGCCAGCCATTGCATGCGTAAGGGCTGCACCAATCCTTGGGTTAGTCAGAGCAAGAAAGCCTCTAGGTCTTTCACCGACACGCCATCTCACGCTTTAAGCCAACCTCTTCGAGTCCTGTCGTCGAAGTGGCAAAATGTTCCAGGCCCACTTTTTGACTTTGATTCGCAACGGGTCGGTGCAGAGCAGAGACATGCAGACACTTGTGGACCCGCGTAGCGATAATGAGCCGGCATTGAGATGCCTGGCAGCTTATAGCTGCACTTGCGTAGCAAGCCTCAAAAGTGTGAGACACGAGGCTGGCATGCCGGTCCTTGGACCCAGCACATGCCTATGAGAGATTGGCCTTCCGGTCCGAAGACCCAGCAAAGGCGCTACAGAAACCATCACGGAACAATAAGTAAATACATATGTAGGCCGGCTCTCAGAGTTGAAACACTACGGGTGAAAGGTGTAAGGCGTGGAGCAGCTGGGTAGCAGTGGAGTGTAGATACATACAATAAAAGGACCAAATAAATAAGACAAGTCGAGCAGATAAGTGAAAATTTGTCTTGTCGCCCCACGGTGGCTGAGGGAGTCTAGTTTGCTGCAGAAAGGGGCATGTTAGGAAGCGAGCCATAGCGCCAACATACCCATAAAAGCACATAGCAACCATTTGAACATGTCCCCTTCGTCGATCTGTGATTTGACAAATGATCACCTGTAATCGATCGCAGCGGGCGGTATCAGCAAGGAGAAGACTATGGATGACATAAGTAGGAAGGAACATAAAGTGAAGTGATACTACTCGCCCACTAGTGCAAGGAGATAAAAATTCCGAAGTAAAACCTCATCCTCTTTTGAGGAGGGTTCAGCCACTCTCACACCATCTTCAAAAATATATCTGGGATTGACTCTCCTGTGCTCGGTTCCGAAATCTTGAAAGAAGGCACGATAATGACCGGATTGCGGACTGTCGCCCAAATGGTACACCCCAGATACAACACGATAGGATTGCAATATCTTTCGACCATCCACCAAAGTTGGTATGAGAAGACTGTCAGGGATCTTGAGACGAACATTGTTCTTCCTGATCCGGCCATGCTGAAGGGAAAAGCGCATGACTTGTAGGAAAAGAATCCTCGGCGGATGTATCAGAAACTGCAATCCTCCTGTTGCTTGATGCCATTCCTGTAGCATCGCTGGAAGGCTGCGGTGCCGACCAATATGAAGCATAATCGGTGCTGAGGTGAGATCGAGTACATCCACCAGATGGGAGGTGGAGTCATAAGAATGGATCGAGCCGCCCAGTCCAGGAATTGTGACATATTGCAGGAGAAATAAGAAATTCAACCACATCCTGCTGTGTACCCGGTCTGTTCCACAGGGTCAGGATCTGCGACCATGCAGCCACGTCACATAGTCTGCCTGCTTGGGCTGTCACCCTTTGCTTGACTGTGAATAGAAGGCCTGCCATCGGCTCATGAAAACTCCGGCTGAGCCACCAAAGACATAAAAGTAAAGCGTTTTGATAGCAGGTATTGCCAGTGTTTTGAAGAATGGGCAGGTCATCTGTGGTCATCAAGCGTTGTCCGGAAGGAGCTCCACTATACGATTCGCCAGGGGGTTCCGTTGAAGTCGATCCCGTCGGAAGCGTCCAAGCACCAGCTTCCACACTGACAGATCGCACATGTCCCGAAGATGACGATGGAGGTCCTGTTCCGACTCGCCCACTGTACCGATCTCGAGGAACATCGCCACCTGGTCGCCCTCCATGTTGGATGTCAGCTTCCGGCTGGGTTGACAGCGAAGAACCGTCTCTCCCGATGGCGCTCTGGATCTTCCTTTGCCACCATTCCAGCTTCATTGGCTCCCGATCCATGTTGCGATGTTCTTGTTTGCTGTCGGGGTTCCATTGTAAGTAGGGCCAACACAGATCGTTGTCCTGATCCCGAACCATCAGTTGTGCTTGCACTGCCGCGCCCACCGCGTCCTCGTTCTGCAACAGGATGTCCGCTCGAGATTGGAGTTCTTGAAGCACGAGGGAGATCAAAATCACCCTTTTTGGGGATTTGGCCTGTCCCAATTCTTTCTGGGACTCGAAGAGCTGCGAGGCTGCATACAGAGGTGACACCAGTGACTGGAGCTCCCCTGCCGACTTGATCTGCAAAAACATCACGTAGGCTTGGTTGAGTCTTTGCGCCGCCAACGCGTCCTCGTGTCGGATCGAGAGCCTCGCTATGCTGTGCACCAAGCTGGTGAGTTGGGACTGCGAGGATTGGGACGTTCCCCGGAGTTGTCTTGGCTTTGCCCTTCCCACGTCCCGGACCCTTCTTCTGGAGTTTCGACGCGGCTTCCGTTGGTGGAACGGGTGTACTCTCCTGCGCCACCTCCTTCCTCTTGGAGCCCGCGGTAGGTTCCATCTCCATT